ATAATACAAAATATGAACTCAGATTCTAAATCAACTTTATTGTCCACCGACACTAATTGGCAATTATCCATAAATGCTATCTATACTATTATTTATGCAATTATTGCTATATTTTGAATATTTATGTAAATTTAGACCATTAATTTGATTGTCTTTAATTAATTGGATGGATATTATCTGATTAATTTATTTGCTTAATTGCTTTTAAATTGCTGATGTTCAGTTTCTTTGATAAATCTATGCTTCTTTTTAAAATTAATAATGACTTACACCATTTTATTTTTTTTAACAAAATGACCTCTATTTAGGATTTTGTTTTTACTAATTTATATTTTTAATTCTAATAAAAATTAACATTAGTTGAAAACTTTGCAATAAATTTATATCTTTTCACTTTCATATTGTAATCAAGTTTATTTGTAGATTTGATAGAATACATATCAAGAGCTTATAAAAATTACTTCAGAAAGAAGAATCTTTAGTAAAAAAAGGAATATTAAATGTATTGTGAAATTGACTATTAAGATTCATATTGATTGAACCGTTAAATGGCTAAATTTGAAAAATTACTCATAAATAATGATGATTTATTGAGTTTAATATTTATTTTTAATTAAATGATTCTCTCATACTAAAATTCTCTGTTTTGAATAAAATTAGAATTTCTAATATAAATAATATCGCCAATTTCTAGATCTTTACGTTTATTTCAACAATGTCAGGGATAATATTAAAATTATAATCAATTTATGGAACTAATTTGTTTTAACAAATACCTAAATTAATTACTTCTTCGCTTCGAAAGAAACTAAACAAAAGTGAGATTTTTCCTGGTTTTCTATTATATCTGAGAGTATAAAATCATTCAGATGGAAGTTGTTTTTTTCAAAAAGTGCAATTATGCCTCTAAAATTTACATTTAAAGTCTAATTAACAATTTGATATATTATAAATTTAGTTTTACTATTTAAATTAATGAATGATTATTAATGAGAATGATTTCAGATAATTTTGAATTAAAAATAATTTTTAATACATTTATATATTAAGTAAACTATCATATTATTAAAATAAACTAAAAAATAGGAATAAGTTTGGCAAGGCATTCCAAGACTTTCACATCCCTTTAAAATATAGCTTCATTTTTTAATATCAAATTAGCAATCAAGTCCATTTTGTTTTGTAACCTAAAACATTACTTTTGAGGCTTACAAATTGATTATTTCTTTTTGTATAATCAAATCAATATATCTTTAATTATTAAAGTTTATTGAATAAATCACAAGCAGTTCTTCTTTTTCTTGTTTTAAACAAAACATTCATATTGCTGTCCAATTTTTAAATGCTCAAGAAGGTTATTATTATCTAAAATGCTTTTAAAAGCATTTTCAAATCACATTTGAGTATTTCCATTATTGATCTAAATATCCATAGTTTAATATCTAATCATATATATATTTTTTGCCTTAAGCTGTAAGTATTTTATGATGTTATCTTGCATATTCTAAAATTTTATTTTATAGTTTTTCATGCATGTTTAATTGTTATAATTCTTGCAGTTTTAACTTTTTTAATAAGGTGGTTTCTTCCCTTCATTAAATATTAAGTGATTTATACTCCATAAGTAAATTTATTCATTTCTTCAATATCTTTGAATCCAAATTGGTTTTATTCTGGTTTAAGTTGCTACCTCATGCCTTATATAAATATTTATTTATATTCTTTTTGATCCCTCTAGCATTATATTCCACTATTTATAAAAAATTTAATATAATTTCTAAAATAAGGGAGATATCCAAATAACTAATGCTTCTATACTAAAATTTCAATTTACTTTAACATACTACACTTATTGGGTTCCTCCAAAGTCTATCATATTGATGTACAACGTTTTGTTTTACATCAATAGTATTGGTGATATATAATCAAATATGATTTGATGAAGAAAATCCATAATTTTTTTATGTGTCTCATATGGGGAATCTTGTCTAATATCCTTAATGTCTAACTCAACTTCATAAAGAAATATTATGTTTTCATGTAATTTTATTACTGTAACTTTAATATTTAACCATATTATTACATTTATTTATATTAAATTTAATATTGTATTCTTCTATCTCCTCTTTTGGTGTTTAAATTAATGTTTAGAATGTTTATCCATTTGTTAAGATCATACTGTCATCAGCAGAACTCAAATTTTCTAGTTTATCTTAATTATTAATCAATTAATTTTCTTCACTTACTTTTTCATTTTTATTGCAATACTTATTACTCTTGATCTCCATTCTTATAGTAGTTCATTAAAGTAAAGATTAAATAGAATTGAAGCGGTAATTGATCCTTAATTAAATTAACATTAATTTTCATTTCTAAATCTTGAATACAATTTAAATATGTAATCTTCTAAAAAATCATATTCACATCTTATGCATTTAAAATCCTCACAATTAAATTAATTATTATTTAATTAAATTTTTAGCCAATGTCATTTAAAAATTTTTTTCTCCTTAATTAGAATTTTATTAACTAATCTTGTTTTTAGTTGTTATTTTTTAGTGAAAATTTTTAATTTTTTTACCAAATCTAAAACATTTTCATATAATCGTTTGGGTAATTATTCAAATCCTTTTATTTCTATTGATAATTACTTATATTCTTAATTACAATTAACACAAGTACTTGTCTCAAACTACAATTATAATATTACTTAAAAAAAAAAAATTGATCACTTAGAATATTTAATTCTCTAAACTAAGTTTTTTCATAATCTGTTTTTAATTAATCAATTTATTATTAATATTCATTTATGTTAAAAATAAAATTTATATTTATTTCTATTTATTTATGCAATGACCATTTTCACAATCTATATAAATACCTAAATCTTAATCTAAATTCTTTTAAATCCTGAAACGTATCGATATGAGAATAGATAAAAATCTGAATTAATATTAAATAGAGGATTAATTGATAGTATTGTAAATATATGAGATGGAATTATTTAAAATTTATTTAAAAAAATAGAAATTTTAAATTAATTAATAAAGTATATTTCTTTTTTATTTCTTTAGATATATAAATTATAATTAGTTGGATAACTAATATATTAGTTATTTATTAAACTA